ACGTGTCGTCGTTTTGCAGCAGTGGCGTACGTGAGCGTCTTTTCTAGTGGATCATTCTCCATGCCCGTTATTTCGTTTTTCCGTTGATGCATCTCCTTGTGGCACTTTAACGAGTTCTTCCACTTGAATGTCATCCGGCACACATTACATTCGAACGGTTTATCGTCCGAATGAATACGCTTATGATTCCAAAGCGTTGAGCGTCGATTGAACCGCGCTTTACACATCTAAAATATAGTGTTTTCACTTGTTTTTGGTGGATTCTATACTTCTGTAACTGCACGTAGATGCACAAAGAATAAAAAGAAATCAGGCATGCACAAAAAAAATCAATCAAGCTTTCTAGCATGCCTAATCTCCAAAAAGAAATGAGGTGTCAGCCGTTTTAAAAATGGAACGTTTGACAGGATCAGACACGAAACAAACGAGTGCTCGAAAGCTTACTTGTCCACCGATGGACAGCAAGCATCCTCATAAAAGTAGCTTTCTACTCTGCTTACGAACTGAGGTGCCAACAGAGTACGGCTTAAAACTTTACTTGTGCGTATAAGAGGTCTATTTGTGTTCAAAAGCGGGATCTAGAATTTTAAAGACGCACATGAACATAGAGCAGCTGTGTAAAGTTCCAACTTTCAAGCTTGAATGATCAATTCTCACAAAGCATGTAAGTACACATGAAACAGACGTATGTGTTAAATGAATTTAAAATCTTTGCATTGCACATGTACGAACATATATAAATATATATATACACACTCACACATACGCACACGCATACACACGCACACTCACTTTCACAAACAGCTACACAGACCTACGATTCCTCGTCAAGCATGCATTTTTATGCGTTTTTGCACACATTTACGTTTTACGTTTGAGAACAAACACATTCAGCGGCTTTCCCCATGTGAAATTTTCACATCCGCACATATGCAAAAACGCATCAAAGCGGAGGCTATTTTAAAAGCATCCAGAATGACCTGATTATGCCGCCTTTTTAAAATGAAAGTTCCAAAAAAAACGGATTCGAAAGCAATTTATAATCGAGATGTCAATGCATTACACAGTTTACTACAATTGTTACACAGCTCCGTACACGTTCCACTCCGATGTGTAATTTTTGTTGCCGTACAAAGCCGCCTGAACGCCTCTGTTTTCAAAAAGAAAAAAATATGTAACACCCAGAAACTGTTTGTATCTGACAAAGAAGCTAAAGTATACTTTTCAAAACTTCGAATTTTAATAGTTTTTGGACAAAAACATCATGGAAACTACTGAATAATGTTGAGGAAGCGAATATAGACTATTCTACAGAAGCAACACTTTTCTTACGCCACTCCGCACAGCGATCGAGAAAGACTTGAAAAAATTGATCCTAAATCGCCCAAGATTTTCAGGGCTTGTCTAATGATGGTTTTTCGCAACTAAGATTGCAAATATGGCTTTCTACAACTTAACTCGGTTTCACAGTTGTAATAAACCTAATTCATATTTACTTGTTTTTGAAACCTAGCAGGCCCTGTGTATTCATTCTAAGAAGAAAATTTTGTTTGTTTTGGATTTTTCGGAAATATGATGCAACAAACATTGCATTCGAATGGTTTCTGGCCTGTGTGCGAGTTTTGATGCTCCTCAAGCTCCATTTTAGAACCAAACCGTGATGAGCACATATTGCAGTTGTACGGCCGCTTGCGATCGGCGGTCAGCGGCCTTCCTGAAAACCTGGGCTTTAAGCCGGCTAAACAAACAAAGTGCATATTTTTGGTCAAAGCATTGAGCGAATAAACAGCAAAATAGCTGCAATGAAAACCATAGACAGTTCGAGTCGATGACAACGTATATTTTTTTGAGCTTTAAATTTTGCAGATGACTGCTTCTCATTTCGACAGGTCTATTTAGGCGGCAGAAGCGATAGTCATAAGCACAAAGGCTATATTATAAGTTAGTGACTTTTTGAGTCAAAATTAAAATATGGAATAGAAATAACAATAAACGAAAGCAACAGCGGGCAGCGCGAAGATGTTACAAAGCCGACACCGAAAGCTGGAAATATAAATAAACTAAAAACTGGAATCAGGATGTACGAATAATCGTACCGCTCCTACCGAGAAGAGCCACGAGGAGGGCGATCTATGGAAATGGAATGATTTGCAATTAAACTAAAACAAACAAATTTCAGCAACCCGGAAAACTCTCATTAAGTTGGATCAGAAGTTTCACACAGGTTTTAAGCGCCATGCTAGGTGCCTGACGATCCTATAGCGGAAATCCTACGAAAAGCCGGCAGTTCTCGAAAAATGCGCTGCGTAGGGGCAACAATCAAGAGACCTAGAGCATGTATGGAAACGTCTTGCATGTATGGATATATGCTTGAATTGCTGAGCTCGGAGCATAACAACCGGTGGTGCAGTGATTTGGCACGTCATATGCTGATGTGAAGACGAGTGGTTCGATTCTCCCACGCTCCATATTAATTTACACTAAGAATCTGCTCGCCAGAGCCTAGGAGAGGCATTGGACCACAAAACTAAGCGCACGCGGACAGGGAAAAGATAAACAAAAAATACATAAATAAACGACAGTGAGGGTTGCATACCGTTATGGTGGATGTTTGAAGGATGAGAAGGAAGTGTACTAGAAGCTGTACTGGCGCTGCTCATTGCATGCCCGTATAAGCGATAATCCGGAGAACATGTGGAAGCTGCTGCAAAACAAACATTGCTGTGGCATAAGCGTGAATGGAGATGAAA